GAGGTGCTACAGAGCCCTGTAGAAGGGTGTTTCCCAAATATAAACAGTCTCTTCCTGGTAGGAAGAGCTCTGATAGTTGCATATGAAGGAGAAAATGACTTTGAGGTACCTTGTAAACACAGCTGTTCTGCATGTTGGAGGCCGGTTTCCTCTTTAGTTATGCTGTTTGTGAGAATTTAAATAGATATGGTGAAAAACTTGGGAAAGCAAAAAGCTATGGGGCAAACGTCCCTGAAATTAGAGCAAAAGGAACGTTAAGTCAGGCACCATGTGGAGTACCTGGCATGTACACAAGGGCTTACACATGTTTTTGTGCCTCCCAGGACTACTGGCTCTCACTGCTCTACAAGAGGTTGGTGGGTACCAAGGTGCTGCAGGTCGGCCTGGCAGGAGCCAATGAGAGGAAGCTCCGTGTCTACCTCCACTGCACGAACACCCTCAAGTAAGCCTCTAGAGAGGGCAGAATACCCCAAAACCTGAGCCCATGGCCACCCCCAGGCTAACAAACGCGATTTGGGACAGCACAAGGTTGCACATCATTCATGTGAAACCTCTTTCTCTCCTGATCCTCACCATCATCTTCTCCTGCCTTGCAGCCCAAAGTACAGAGAAGGGGATGTGACACTGTTTGTCCTAAACCTCTACAACATTACCCAGCATTTGCAGCTACCGGATTACCTATCCAGCAAGCACGTGGATCAGTACCTCTTACTGCCTCATGGCAAAGAGAATATACTTTCCAGGTAAGTGTGCAATTCCTCCTGTCTCTGTGGAAAGTACTGTGAGTGGAGGTAGATGGTCTTTAAAATCTCCCCTTGTTCAATTTGCAAGGGGGAGGAAGAGATTACCATTCAGTCATCTGGGGTTTTTTTCAGTAAAATCTGACTTCTGTTTTATCAGGTATCCTAAACTCAGTCTGCTGAAAGCTTGCTAGGGCACAAGGACACTTACTTGATGTTAATTGGGAAGTTTTTTCTAGCAGGCTTCAGGGCTCTGGACCAGCTGCTGAAGTCCTTTTTCTTTTGCACAAGCACAGGAATATTGCTTTCCCAAGTGCTGGGTCCTGATTTACAGCAACATGTTTAGGCTTTGTATGTTGGGGATTTTTTTGGGTTTTTTTTGTTATCACTAATGCGTCTGCACAGGAAGGATTTTCTCCATGGGAATAGAAGATACCTTAATAATTACAGGAGAAAAGGCAATTAAAATCTGTATTTTTCAAAGCCTGCTTTGCTCTTACCCCACTGGAAGACTAAGAAACGTGTAGTTTTCATTGTACTTGTGCTACCACTCTAAGAGACTCCTTGCAGAGGGAGTGCTGCAGATGCTTTTCCCTCGAGGGAAGTTTGGTTTGGCTTTGGGCTGAGTTAATGTTTACACTCAGGTCCAGAGCTATTTGTGCTTGATTGCAAACAGAGCACAGCTGCCTAAACAGTCTCTCTGTCCCCCTCCAGGTCTATTGAGCTGAATGGCCATGTGCTACGGATGGTGGATGACAAAACACTTCCAGAGCTTATTGAAAAGCCCCTTGGTCCCGGCAGTGTACTCGGCCTCCCAGCCTTCTCTTATGGCTTTTATGTTATCAAAAACGCCAAAGCTGTTGCTTGCATTTAAATGGTTAATTACCCACATGCAGGATAAATGTAAAGCACTTGGCTAGTAGGGGGTTTTAATCCTAGAAATTCACGTTTCTACCACGGGATTTAATTCTGGTAAGGGATGTAAATGTGGCAGCACTGGTACGATCTGTGGGCTGGGCAAGACTTGAGGGCCCACTGGGTGATTTGTATATGAAAGATGCTTATTCAGCTCCCAGGAGAATTTTCCAGGTAGAGCAAGACTAGACAGGGGCTAGTTTTGTTCTTGGTCCAGCCTGTGTTGCTGCACTTGAGCAGGGGGACCTTCTCCAGGCCACGCACGGAGCCACATCAGCTTCTCACACTGTGCTTGGGGCTCTGCCACCCTGGGAACTGCAATCTCCCCTCTCCCTCTCGTTTCTGCAAGCACAGCTCTAAAAACAGTTTCTTCAAAAGCTTGCCTTCAGAAAGGATGAGCAGGGTTTTTATTTTAGCTGTACAGCTGTAACTCTGCCCATACCACATGGGGAAGCCCGAGAAGGGGTTGTAGTTGCTGAGGGCATCTTGGGGTGGAAAGTGTGGACATGGAAAGCAATCCAAGGTCAGGGTGCCTGCAGGGGGAAAGACCTTGCAGAGAAACCAGTTCCTCTATCAGGTTTGGGGCAGTAACACACATTTTTCCCAAGCTAGTTGAGTTCAGACACAAGATGGAGCTGTGGCCATGTGCCTTCCAAAGGCAAGTTTTTGACACATGAAACACAGGCTGTTCCTGTGGGATGGTCTACCTCTGCCATAACGCGCTTCATCCCTGCAAGGAAAGGAGAGGAGCCCACCAGCACCCCTCTGTGGTCAGTGAGCTCCATGGTGAGAGTTCAGAACTCCTCAACCTTCACCACCCCACAGGCAGTTCAGCTGGAAAGGACTTCCCTGAACCTATTTGCAGGTGAAGATCTCTCTGCTTTACACTCCCTAATTCACTAAGGTCTTCTCTTCGAGGAAATGGAATAGTAAAGAGACTGAGCAAACCGCTCACCCCTCAACCATCAGAGGGACATCAGTGGCCTTAGAGATCCTGGGGACAAAACTCCCAGCCAGGCTGACATCCTTCCCACTGGATAAATAGCCATTTTGCCCAGAAATCTGTGTTGGTGGTGGCTTTTCTCCCCAGCTGTGCCTTCCCCATGCCCACCCTGTTATAGTTCCATGTGCCACTGGCCACTAGTCTGCAGGGTAACAAAAGGTCTTGGACAATACCTGTGGCCTCCCACACACATTTATTTGCATCTGCTTTCCTTGAAGATATGTAACCCCTACCACTGTCAATGCCTTATGATGTTGTGAGCACAGCAGGGAAAAAAAACACCACACCACTGTACTTCCCTTTTTAAGCTTTAAAAAGATGCTACCAGCCACATGGGGTTTCAACTCAGGGCAGGGAACCTTTTTTAATGAGAGGACTTTAAAAACACAGCTACTTTTGTAGCTGTGATGAAAACCTGCACAATAAAAGGGTTATATTAAAGTTTAGTGTGTCAAAGGAGTGCATTCTGTGAAGGGTTATGTATCAGGGCATAAAACAGATCAGAAATGAGAAAGGCTGTTTGTTTACACTGTCCAGGTTCCATAAAAGAAGTGAAGAGAGTGTAAGATGGAGTAAAAAGTCTTACATAAAGTCAACATGAAGTTAATAATTTATTATTATTGTTATTGTTATTATTATTATGCGATTTACAACTAAAACATAGAAGTTATTATTTGCCTGGTAGTTTCTTTTTAGAACTTTCCTAGGAGTTTTGTTTATTCCAATGCTTGTGACTTTTATATTTGAAGATTTTAATTAAAGTGATTTATACCAGCTTTTGGCAATCTTTGGGGTTTTTTTAAAACTTCTTTTTGACATATTGATACCACAACCCTCCCTACTTTTCTTTTGGTCATACATCACCTGTACCTTGGTTACCAACAAGAGTACCCAAGCACATGAAAATGAAAGAAATCATACCCAGTTTGGTGCGTTTCAGTTGTAGTTGACCACGAGTTCAGAAGTCCTCCACCCCAGGGTCTGACTTGGACTCAACACATGTATTGGTGATTGGCACACAGGAACTACTAGGAGGGGCACAGAGATGTCTGGGCATGCAAATGTCAGCTGCTCCCTACCATGTCTCCTCCTCTGAGCACAGGGCATGGTTCTTCACAGGGTGGGGTTTACAGCTCACAGAAATGCCTTCAAGTTAAAAAGTTCTCCTACACACACCCAGGTTACTTCTCTTTATGAAGTGTTGTATATTTAGGTGATAGCAGCCGTTAGCTCTACACAAACAAAGCAGGAGGGAGGTAAGCGAAGGAGACTGGAAGGATGCTGGATCCCAGCACACCAAGACAGGTACGGTCTGAAACAGAAGCAAACATCACCCTCACAGGGCCCATCTGCAGCAGCAGTGCCTGCCCCACAGGCACCCTATCTATGGGGCTTTTTTTCCTCTGTGAATATTGTAAACCTTGAATATGTGTGTGTGTGTGTGTGTGTGTGTGTGTGTGCATGTGTATACTTATCTGAGAACACGGACAATTATTTTATATCTCGCACACATTCCAATTTACTTTTGCATTTTTGACTCTGGAAGTCGGATTGCTCACCTCAGATTTACTGTAGGTTTTACTTCCTGGAAGCTGGAGTAAGTTGCACCATAAGACTTTTGTACATTTTGTACATTTGTACTTTTGTACTTTTGTATATCTGTTGTATGTCGAAATAAGGAGACTGATAATCTCCTTAGAGTCAGGAGCAATTTGACCATCAACTCAGATTTGAGCCAAACAAGACAGTGAGGTCTTAGCTTTTGGTGATTTTCTGAAGTCTGAAATGAGCTATTCCCTAGAATATTTTTCAATGAAGGGCCAGGCTACTTTATTATGAATATAAATCTAGTGGCAGTAAGTTAATTTTTTGCTTTATTTTCATGAGCTCCTTAAAAGTTTTCTGTAGACAGTCCAGGGTTTGCTTGCCACATCACACACACCCAGAAAACACCCCAAAAAGTGTCTGTGGAGAAGCACCCACATGGTGAAAATCAGAGTACTGGTGTTCCTGTGGACACAGCAGGCAGAGAGACTGTGGACATCTGTTGCCGGGACTCAGTATTCAAACATACCTCAGGCACTTGTTTGTACCTGAATAAAGCCCGCAATTGGCCTTGTCAATGTGAAATGGAGCCAAGGTCACAAAAATAGTATCATCACAGTTGAGCAACTATTTCTTTTATTGTCTTGTGCAAGTCATTTTACTGTAGATTACTGCTCACTAAAACAGTAAATGGCAAAACATGTAAGTCTCTTCTCCATCACTTCCATTTTTCACTTCCTCCTGGCAGTCAACATCTTGGGAAATTAAAGTTCAAATTGGGAAATTGGGAAATTAAATTTTGTCAGTGTGTCAGTTGTTCAAGCTGAAGGAAGTGTGGAATAAAAAAGAAGTTATCCTCTACAGGGACACTGAACTCCCCAAGAAATCTTTCAGCAGCAGTTTCAGCACAGTTGAAATGCATTGGATCCATTAGTTTCTTCCTTATCTTAGGAGTTCTGCCAGATATCTCTGTGGACCATAAAATTTGCATTCTTTGTGCCCACTATGAGTGATACATCCTTGTTCCCAAGCTTTGCTAACCTCCCCATAGCTCTGAGATCACTGGAGCATGTCCAGCCCTCAATCTTAACAAGGCAATTCTGCCAGTGAGTAATTTATCTTTCTGACACCTGGACATCGCTTAAAGCTTGCTTGTTAGCTGCTCTCTGTTTCACGGATTAAATCTCCCTTCTTGCTGATTAGGCTTAAAAGTATACAAAGACCAAACATCGAAGAACATCCTTTCCTAAGAAAATTTTACATGTTTCACATTTTGCAACAGGTGAGTGAGCATCCCCCTGCACCTGGGCTGCTCTTACCCAGATAAGAGATTTAGCCACCACACACCCAAAACTCTCCTCCTCCCCTTCGGTTGGGGGCTGAAAACAAAGCACCTGCTGCTGTTAATGGCCAGTCATCTGAGTCATTAACCTTTTAATATTTCAATCTCTCACAGACAGTGGGAGAACTGAGTGAGCAGGGGCACCTTCCACTGGACCAGGTTGCCCCATCTGACATCCAGTGATGGGGCATCCACAGCTTCTCTGGGCAACCCATTCCAGTGCCTCACTACCCTCAATGGGAAGAATTTCTTCCTAATATCAAATCTAAACCTACTCTCAATGTGAAGCCATTCCCCCTTGTCCTGTCACTACAGGCCCTTGTAAATAGTCCCTCTCCATCTTCCCTGTCAGCTCCCTTCAGGTACTGTAGGGCTGCAATAAGGTCACCCCAAAGCCTTCTCTTTTCCAGGATGAACAATCCCAATTCTCTCAGCCTCTCCTTGTAGGAGAGGTGCTCCATCCCTCTAATCAGCTTGGTGGTCTCCTCTGGACTCTCTTCGACAAGCCCATGTCCTGCCTGTGTTGGGCACCCAAGATGCGTGGACAAGTGCTGTCACTACAAGTTCCAACACCATCTGAAGCAGTTAGAGCTCTTCAGGATCTGGCCCGGTGCAATAGCTCTCAGGAGATCTGCAGGCATGCCAGTAATGACACCCACTCAAGCAATTCCTTTTTTCTGCTTTGTTTCAGACAGAGCTAAAGCAATAACCTGAACATCCACAGCCTTCCCCTCATCCACCAGGCGGGTCACCCGATCATAAAAGGAGATCAGGTTGGTCAGACAGGACCTGCCCTTCCTAAACCCATGCTGGCAGGATCTGATCCCTTGTCCACCCTGTGGGTGCTGTGTGATTGCACTTAGGATGATCTGCTCCATAACCTTGCCAGGTACTCAGGTCAGGCTGATGAGCCTGTAGTTTCCCGGGTCCTCCCTCTGGCCCTTTTTGTGGATGGGCGTGACATTCACCAACTTCCAATCATCTGGGACCTCCCCAGTGATCCAGGACTATTGGTAGATGATGGAATGTTTGCACCTGTTCTCTGTACTACTTCAAACAACTCCACAGCACAACTCAAAACACTACCACAAATGAGCAAAGCCACCTTCCCCAGCACGCTGCCTTGTGTTCCTAGTTACACAACCCCTGTCATCTCAAGTGGTGAGAAGTGGGTTCATTCACAGAGGGTCTGTGTAAGCCCACTGGTGTGCAGCTTTGGGTGGGCTGCCTGGCAGAGGAGGGTGCCTGGGGGACTCTCTCCAAAGCTCTGGTCTCACCAGCCCTTTTCAGAGGCAGAGTAACAGCCTCAGGGTTTCATTTCAAACATGGAGAAGGGCTTCTGAATCTGAAACTTTACTTTTTTCTAGATGTCTCAGCTGGTTCAATGGAAGAGCACATCTCCCCCAAACCTTGCTTCTTTCCCACAACTTGGAATGGCTCAGGCTAAAGGAAAAATCCTGCATCTAAAAAAGCCATAGGAGAAAGGAGTTGAGAAAGGGGAATTTTCACAGCCCTTAGAAATATAGCCAAGGGCCAGGTGCACATCTCACCAAAACTGAAGCCATTGCAGTTGGTACAAGGAGAGAGCTGCTCCCTGCCCATGTCTGCACATTCTTTGTCCCTCCCACACTAGGGACATTGCACATGGTGGAGTGGGTCTGCTTGGCTGGCTGATCAGACAGAAAATGGTGCTGGGGCTACAGCTGGGAGGGTGCAGTGCCATCTGTGCAAGATGCCTGAACCCTCTGTGCTGCAGGCACACAAACATGAGGTCCAGCACACAGTGTAGTGCTCACAGCTAGGGCTGAGGGCATCACCTGCTTTGCAGCAGCTCACAGTCATGGCATGTCAGACCTAAATGAAAGTAATAGGAGAATAGGTTTCAAATTCCTCTGCAGTTGCATGCTGGCTTGGGCAATGGTTTGTCACAAGATGTCTCATGCAGCCTGGCTGAGCTTCTGCTTCCTGTGCTCATCGCCTTGTTATGCTTTCAGTGGTGCCACTCTTTCTTCAGGTCACTCAGACTTTCAGGATAATGCCCTCTGGGAATCAAGCTTTATCTCAGGAACTCACAGGGTAAAAAACAACTAAAGTAAAAATCAACCTCTTTGTAGTGTACAGATTAGTCCAACTCATTAATTTTGTAGTCTGCTGCTTCATTAACTCCCTAACTCAAAAATTCACTGACTTGCACCTGCACACAAGCAGAAGAGCTTCCAGAGGATGCAAGTGCAGATCCTCCTGCCCCCATCCCTATCCCCAGACAGTGGTGGGAAGCAGGAGAAACTCAGCTGCTCTTGGGCCAGCTCTGGAGGCTTTCTGGGGTAAGCTAACCTGTGGCTATTTCCAGCTTGGACGTGTGCTTTGTGCCATTTCTAAGGCAGTTTCATCCCAAGCTGTCAGCTTCTGCAACCACACTGCAGGGGATGATGGACCTTACCTTCTCCTGCCTCTCATGTCCAGCACACGTGGTATCCTTGCTTTAACTCAATAGTGCTGCCCCCAGCATACATGAGGAGCACCTGAGCAGGAGCTGAGTGAACGCCCATATGTGAACAACCATGAAGTTGATCCAACATTTGCCAAGGTATTGGCAGAAGCACATCCAACACCCTTTGCAACAGTATGTGACACGAGAAAAGTATTTTTTAAATGTATCGATGTTACTTAGCAGAATAAGTTGTACTATTGATTAAAAAGGGCCTTTAGGACTTAATAATAAAGATGCTTTTTAAGACAGATGGAAGAAGGTATGGAGAGAGAGTTGAACCGGGAGAGACGATGTGCAAGAGAGGGAAGCTGTGTGCTCCACACCTGCTCTGTGTACATGACCACAAGTCCTCTTCTGAAAAGAGCTTTGCTTTTTTTTTTCCATGGCAGTCTCGTGACCCAACGTGCTCATCCTGATGGTGGGGTAGGTCATAGCCTCTGATGGTAGCTCCCCACGTGTTTAACCTCCATTTTTCTGACTTACCTTGTCATAGATAAATCAGCTCTGAGCAGTTCAAACTCTTGAAGGCAACCTTTTGCCCCTGCTGCCCTTGCCACTGGTTTCTCAAGCAAAACCTGAAGGCAACAGATAGAAAGTCCCTTCTTTCACATCTCTATAGTGGATGTTTTCCCTGTATGCACATCCCAAGATCTCAGAGGACCCCTGCCAGCACAGCAGCTCACGGCTGGGCTGAGAGACAGGGGAAGGAGTGAGAGGACACTTTCCCCATCCTACCCAGCATACAAGAAATAACAGGCTACTGGTCTCCAGGTTGTGCTGGCAGTGGTCCAGCAGTGGGAAAGCACGTTCATTGGCTCCTCCCAACATGGGAGGAAACTGCAGGAGCCAGAGCCCTGCTTGGTGTTGAGCAACCAGGTCTTTATCTCCCATCACCTGGGAAAGCAGGTGACACTGCAGCACCAGACCTTCAGCCTATCCTTTGCCGAGCCAAGAGCAACCTCAGCCTCTTCAGCTCCACGGACAACCTGGGCTTACACAGCCTCGGCTTTCTGCCCTGAGTCTTCCTCCTAAGGAGGAAGGAGGCAGGAAACCCCCAGCCCCTCACCTGACAGATACAGTCAGCACAACTCTTTCCAGTGGACTGCCAAACCTTTCATTTATTGCCTTAGTGCCCCCAGTGTGCAGTGTCATTTATTCCCTTATTGCACCCACTGTGCAGTGTCATGCACGCGGAAGTGTGGGAGGGAAAAAGGATCATGTCATCTCTAAGCAAATAAATTCAAGGTCCCTTAAGTAAAGCACAACTGTAATGCACTTAAAATCTGTACTTTCCTCTATTTTCTCTCAAGTACTTTTATTGCCATTTATATATATCCCCTGAAAAAGTGGTTAACAACATGACAGCATTTGGGGGAAAATAAGCTCTGATGAAGCTGGAAAATCTGTTTGATAAATATTTGGCCATGGTGCCGCATGAGAGGCAACACAAAATGCACACAGGTTTTTCTATTAAGCAGCCACCTAACGCTGTTGAAGCTTCTTCTCAAAACACTCCCCTGATGCTATGTACGTGCTGCTGCTTTCGAAGTTAAGCTGGAGGTAAAATTATTTCCCTTCTATATAGAACCATAGAATCATTAAGGTTGGAAAAGATCCCTAAGATTACGGAATCCAACCCCTAACCCAGCACAGCCATGTTCACCACTAAACCCCGTCCTCAAGTGCCACATCCTCACACCTTCTGAACACCTCCAGGGGTGGTGATTCCACCGCTTCCCTGAACAGCCCGTTTCAATGCCTAACCACCATTTCAGTGAAGGAGTTTCTCCTAATATCAAATCTAAACTTCACCTGGTACAACTTGAGACCGTTTTCTCTCCTGTCACTTGTTACCCAGGAGATGAGACCAACTCCCACCTGCCTACAACCTCCTTTCAGGGACTTGTTGAGAGTGAGATACTTTTCATTCAGAGCTGAACGTTCCAAATGCTTTGATGTCAGTCCAGGAAAAAAACCCAAGGTCCTATGGAACGGGCATTGCTTTGTCCACTGTCCTCACAGCTTGTTACAGGCTTGGTTCTGTTCTTTATGCAGTTGAAGCAACTTCTTTATATTAGGTGTATTTCCTTATTACTCTACCTGCCCTAGCCAAGCTTTGCAATTTAGAGGAACTGTGTTCTGCTGGTGTAAGCATTCGGGAGTGGGTTTCATTTGTTTTTCATTAGGATGTGGATTTACACTCCCTATTCCAGAAATTAAAGCTGTATTTTTAGAAGTTTTGAACTTGGCATTGAATACTGTTTTTGTTGTCGGTTTCGTTTTGGTTTAATTGTACTAAACCTTTCTGCTCTGTTCAGACAAAATCACATATGTACAGCTGCCTGGAAGTGGCAGGAAAAGAGAAGTACTCTAAAATAAATTAACTCTTTTGTGATTTTCTTTGTAATTCTGGTTATGCATGTAGCACACTCTGCTAGAATTTGCTCTGGCCTTTTGCCTCTGTCACAAACTACAGGGAGGCACTGCAGGAAACTCACCTCTCCAGTATACCAGGAGCCTTCAGCAAGTACCTAAATTTCACATTATCCATGGCCAGTTAATGTCCCCATTTTTTCTTGTGTGCTTTGTTTTGAAGCATAAACAGAGCTTATCTTCACGGTATTTGTACTGTGAAGTGTTTCAAAATAAACTAACAGCCCTCTCCCAGCTTTTGCCAAAAGGAAATAACAAAGTGCCCACAAAATACATTTCTACATTTTGCTTACCACACCAGTCCCTCATCACAACAGTTGTGCTTTCAGTGTCTCCCTTGAATACTGGCTAATCACAGTGCCGTGCTGGTGGTACCTTAATTTTCAGCTGGCTTTTTAGTGACCCAAAGGATGCTCTGATCTTTCCACACAGACACACCTTTCTGACCTAGTCAAGCCCCTTATTTATTAAAAATGAAAAATAGTAAGCTTCTGAACAATTATGTGATATGACTTTAAGTAGCTCAGATTCGGGAAGAGCTCACATTTTGTAGTGCCTTTGAACCAACTGGTGTCCTTTGTTCAATGCCAGGCCATGTTACCAGTGGCTGGCAACACGCCTGACCTGCTGCCCTGGTGGCCCCTGGGGCTGAGCTCCTGCCAGCCAGGCTGGCTGGCCTGTGTGCTCTGGCTTGAGCTGTTTGCTCCCTGCAGCTCCTGCAGCAAATACTTTCAAATGGAGGGAAAAATCTGGCCCCCTTGCATCGCCACCTCCATATTTACCACGAAACACACAAATAGCAAAATCCAGGCACAGTTTGCCTTGGCTGACCCTATGGAGAGTCTTTCCCTCGTCAAAGGTGAGTGTGAAACCTCTCATGTGCCACTTTGTTAAGTGGGCTCCTAAGGAAAAAATCCAGCCCCATCATGAAGGGCTATCGATGCCTTGGCATCCCTGCATCCCTGCAGGAACTAGCACCCTACTTCTGTAGGGCTAATCCTGGACAAGGAGCTGTTCTTGCTTTGATCCACCTTTCTACCAAGTACAATGGGAGCACATGCAGGCAAGGGTTGGTGTTGGTTACCCAGTTTTCTGGCCCACAGAGGAACTGGAAGTGTTTCAGTAGGCCTTTGCCAGGCATATCTGACCTTCCTGCTGCCTGCAAAAGCATTTATCATCTCAATATCCTGTGGAGGAACATTTGGAAAAGGAAGATAACAAGAAAGGCAAGGTTTGACAGCGGAGGAGAAACTTCCAGAGGACACTGTTTATTTATGCAAAAGCACACTACCTAATAATAAAGCTGATGCTTAGAGACAGGTCTATTTGAGAACTTTTTAGTAGACTGTATCTAAATACAGCAGTGTGTCCTTGTGAAGATTAGAAATAAAATAGCTTGGGAATGAAAGGAGAAGATGAACCTACACCTGCCAAACAGTTTTACTCAGGAAGTAGGTCAGCTTTTTTTGTTTTGCACTTGAAAAATTACTTCTTATTTCCGTGTATTAATCATAAAATGCTCACGCAAATAACATCCTCAGTACTATACAGCCTAGAACCTCAACCTTACTTAGTTTTTCAGGCAATTAACCTAAAACACAGCTATGGCTTATCTTTGTAAAATGTACTTTGAGATGAACTTGGAAAACTCCCACAGAAAACATGAAATGATTTTCAAGTTTAGGACATGAGGACTGTTTTGGAACTTTGATTTTTATTTAGCTACACCTTCTTCTTCCTCTCATTACAAGACAAATGCTTGTGACAAGCCATCATCGGACAAAGGACACCAGTAGGTTCAAAGGCACTACAAAATAGGAGCTCTTCCCAAATCTGAGCTACTCAAAGACACTGCAGTGTATTAAAAATGGATGAATAACTTTTGCCATCTTTTTGAGATGACACTAAGTAGTATTAAGAAACTGATCCATCCTAACTACATCAGAAGACTTTTTTATTACTAGTAAATGGTTTATAAACAAAGTTCAACATGGAGTTGGATGCATCCAATTCTCTCTCCACAAAATGCAACTTCACCACATAATTGTTTAGAAACATAGTATTTTTAATTTTAAACTGCCTTTTTTTTCTAACTTAATGCTTCCTCCACCCCAAATTTATAAAACTTACTTAAAACAATTTCTGTGTAAGGATTGAGGATGCCCTAAAAGCAGTCACACTTCCTAATATTTTCATGTATTTCTATCTTACATGCAGTCAGGCTGAAAAATCTGCTATTTCTGATTTGCTTAAAATGTATTTGACATCACTGATGCAAATAGTAAAAGAAAAAGCAACTTTACAGGATGTACATTAAAATGAAGTGTTCAGAACTGGCAGTTCCAGCCCCAAAAAGGAACTTCTGTGACCAAAGCCATTGACCCATTAGATGCTTTCTTTTTCCTGCACCAAGAACTGCTTTGCCTGTTCACCATCATTGGCAATGAAAAATTACCCTTAGCAAACCCTGCACACATGGCTCTGGACTGCAAGGTCTCTCAGAAATACTGGTTTAAATAACCTTAAAAGTATCATTCCCATCTTTGGAGCCAGAGCAGTACTGAGCCTTGGTTATTGCTGTGACTGCACACACAAGTTGTGCCCTACCTACTCAAGGAGGAGAGCAGACATCAGGAAAGGTGGTTGGGATACCATAATGAGCTTGGCAAGCAAACATTCTGTATCACCAAACCACAGCCCCACATGCAGGCATACACAGTCACCCATGGAGAAAAGTGTGCTTGTGTTGCCAACCAGTATGGAAACTCAGGTAAGCTCCACTGTATCATTATACCAGAACAGGTGTGCCTGCTCCTCCTTCCACAGAAATCGACTTCACAACATGCCATACAAGCTCTTTAACACCAGGAGTCAAAGAAAAGGTTAAACACCGTGCACATCATGGAACTGGAAGAGCATAAGCCAGTTGAAAACGTGAACGGTTTTAAGCAATTTAACTGTTAGCCTGCACTTGCTATTTTTATTGTTTCTAAGCATCCTCCTAGAAACAAGTTCTTCCTGTAAGACTACAAATAAAACCAGTAGGCATAAGTCAAAACAAACAGAATTAAAAAATAGAAGTATGACAACTTTTGTTGTCATGTAGCATGACAAATTTGTAGCTCAGGGTCAGCCAGCAGTCATGGACACTTGGCAATAGTTCTGGGCTACTCTGTTTTTGTTTGAAGTCAGTAGTCTGTGTTCAAGTCACTCTTGACAAACAAGCTCAGCCCACTCTGTGCAGGCAACTTCGCAGAAGCCTGTTCTTTTCACGTGAAAAGCACCCACTGTCAGCAATCACAGCAACAGCAAAAGGTAATCCTAAATACCTCTCTAATGACTTATTATGAACCTCACACACTCAAAAGTTCTGACTGCTTTTAGACATCTCAGGATGAAAACAGTTATTGCAATTCTTTCATGCAGCAAGCTCCAACTCAAACTGAGAATTATTCTTTTAATAAACCAGACCATCAAACATGTACAGGCAGATTTTATTTACATCCTGAAATAATTTTGCATTTTTGCACGTGCCATCACTAAGAGATATATGTTTTGTACAAAATCTTGGATTCGGTCTTCAGAGCTTGACACAAGCTTGACACTACACAGGACCAGCAGAGCAGCTTCACTTATTGAAGCTTCCTTGGAGATTGAAGTTATTTACAGATAATCAAAACTTGCATTGTAGGATCATCTCAATTGCATGATTTTAGAAACAAGAATGTTTTCACCACCTTTTATAAATAAACAGTATAAAGCAGCTATATTTATATTAAAAGTTTTTTTCCTTCTTACAGTACTTACATTTTAGCAGGACTAAAATATCAGTATTTATAATAATTTCAACTATCTGTTTTCTAAAGGTTCTTCTACATTTTTTAAATCCTTTTGTTTCCACAAATTTCCAAGCACAATCCCTGTAAAGAGCAGAATTCCTACAGTACGATTTGAAGCAAATTTCTTCCAACAGTCTTCAGGCTTATTTATGTCCAAAGTGTAAATCTGCAAAAGCACAGTAAAACATTACAGGATTATTATTCTACAGACTCATAAATATTTGATACATCACAAAATGACACAAAAAATTATTCTGAAATTCTAAAGTCTACCCTTACCTCCACAAGAAACAGGTATACCCTGTGCTTAAAAAAGAGTTTTTGCATAACTGGCGTCTATGTTTGACAGATTTATCCAACATACAGCACAAGTCAAGCATCACATATGAACATGATTCCCAGACCGTCTCAATGAAAGAATATAGAAACAGCCTGGTTACTGGTGTGTCCAGTTTGATATTTAAAAGTGTGAAAATATCTGGGCATGTCAATAAATCTTTTTGAGATCTTCCTTTGTAGGTAGCCACCTAATCCTTCAGTGGGAACTTTAATTAAAGATAAACCCCCCAGAACACGCCGACATCTTTCAATCCCTGCTGCAAGGTGTTGTCCCATGTTTCAGTAGAGGCAAGGCACTGGAGAGCCAGAAGTTAACCAGGCTAGATGGAAAGCACAGGAAAGTGGCAGGCCCTGCCTTGTCACATACAGCTGGTTCAGTCCAGTTGCTCTTAGTCATGTCCATTCAATTCCTTTGCAAACAAGAACCAGGACACCTGAAACAGCAGCTAGAACCAAGGCTTGGCTTACCCAACAGAGCAGCTGTTTGCTGTGAGTCACAACTAAAGGTAAAAAAACCCACAAGGTATAGCAAGAGCAAAATTACTGAAAAATATTCCCAAAACCAAAATTTGGTGCAAATGTCTTGAGAATCAAGACAAGAGGAAACGTTAAGCAAAATGAGTGAAAGGATTAATGGAAAAGTACTCCCTAAAACCTCAAACCTTGCAATTCAGCCTTTGAAAAAGTTAGAACATATTCAAGTAAAAGAAGTGAAACCTTACCCAGGAAATCCGTTTCTCTGTCATTTGTGGGTGTATAGAGAAAACAGGGCTGGGTCTTGGTCAAATAAAGAGAAACATTGTTCACAAGCTTCAAAGACATGTTATCCACACCCTTAAAAACCTGTTAGGCCCTCAAACACTGTGAACTTGAAACACTGAAGTGACAAATAAAACTCAATGGCAGCCAAGCCATGAGAAATACTTTCAGACACACAAAGAAAGTAAAAGATGTCATGTTTCTATCAGTGAACGTCTTGAGAGGGATATAATTCGTCTCATCATGACCCAAATTCCTCTGTCTCATGCAAAAATTCAGTGAATTAAGGAAAACCTAGCCCTCAAGCAGCTTACTCAGCTTTCTAAACTCCATTAAGCACACGATCAGAAGCCCTGAACAAGAAGATAAGCATGAGAATGTTTAAGTAGGATTAATACTAAAATAATCCCTTAAAAAGAAGCTACTCTGTGGTACACAGAACAGTGCTGCTCTTGTGACTTTGGCAGTCCACACAGTCATGCATTCTCCATCACTTACATTCAATAGCTCTGCATCCTCACTTATAAAAATCCTCCCTGCAGCAAAGTGATTTTCATTTCAGCCAAAACTACAGTGTGAAGCCTCTGTGACAATTCAAACTGTAAATGGTCATGCAGCTGACGTAGTATGCTTTCCCTCATAGATTTCCAAGCACAATCACTGTGAAAGCAGTGGCTGAGTGCTGGACTACATCACCACAGGAATTCTCTTACTCAGGGGTGTGTTTAATATCCATTACCTGCATGAGCTCCACCCATAAAAATGTAACATAAGACTAATGTGCTCTACAAAGTCCACATTAACCACAGACTTCTCAAACGGTCAATGATTTCAATAGCTGCAATACACAAACCTCTGCTATCACTCACGGCTATCAAGACCAACAACTGATTTTTGTGTAGGCTGATTTGTCACTACAAAACTGTGCAACACAGTTGTTAGGATTCACAAAGAACATGGTAGCAAGATCCTATCTGCTTCCTTTACTGACAAAGCCAATTTCTTTCTTTCTGTTATTCACTAAAATTTCTGAACTAATGCAACTACAAGACTGAACCGGATTGTTCTCCGCTAGAAAAAGAACTGTGAATTAGAACTGTCAATTACCACAAAATTATGATACTAACATCTGCTATCATAAGAGCTGTATCAGAATAGTAAAATTTTTTATCTTGCAGGATATTGAGGTGGATTCTAGCAGCAGCTGCTATTGGGAGAGACAAAAACCATCTCCTTGAGATCACAACTTAACGTGAGGCACTTCTTTTGGTTAGGAACAGACTGAAACACAGTGTTCCACAATCTGTGGACTGAAGGTCTCTTGAAACAAGAAGTCTGCAAAAGGTACTTAAGAGAAGCAAGCTTATGGTCAGAAGACTTCAGTCCTCTTTATAGGAACTGGTTTTTTTCAAGTAAGTGGTGAATAGATGTGGGTTGAAAAGTGCTCTGATTTCTTATTAAGAACTTCCCCATGGAAAAAGTGTGAATAAATCCATCAAACCTGGTGTGCTAGGTGAGCCCCTACAGCAGCCACAGCTGAGTAATACGGGAACGTCTGGTTACAATTCATCCCTGCCACGCACAAACTCAGGAGCATGGCAAGGCTGAAGCCACTGAGCCACTGTTTTGTATCCTCCTTGAACTGTAACGCGGTTGATTTCACACCGATCATGATGTCATCCTTCTTATCCTAGAATGAAAGGATGGTTTAGCAAAAAAAAAAATCCACAATTCAATGCCACTTCATAAGGAAAATAAAAAGGGAGGCCTTGCTTAAATTCCCAATGCTTCTTACTAGGAACCCAATTTAAGTACATTTGTAGGCCTCTACATTAAAATTTAAATTAGAAGGCTGGTCTTAGAGCTGCTTTAGCAGCCAAGAGCTAATACCAACATCAAATTTGTTCACACAATGCAAATGCATAAGAGTGCAAAGGACATTTTACTTCCATCTTTCTATCTGATATATAAAACATTTGCAAACAACAATAAAACACCAAAGAGCTGGGACTTCTTTGGTGCTGTTTTAGCTCAGCTGAGGCTGAAGAACTGCCACGTTAGTTCTGCTCTTTGACAACAATGTTGTAATTAAACACACAAACTTGCGTATTTGAACAGAGAGATCTGAAATTTCTCAGTGTTACTCTACCTGATGTGCATAAATGGTATCGTATACCAGCGTCCACAGGACTCCAGACAAGTACAAGGGCAAACACACGGACCACTCACACGACCCTTTGATGGCAGACCAGCCAAGAAGGGCTCCCCAATTAAATGTAAGTCCTAAAAACATAAAGAGTTAAAAGAAAGACAAAAAAGTTACAAGAATGCACATAATTAAATATTATTTATTCAAGGGAATATCATGTCAGCACCTTTTTGTACAATACCAGGATCTCTATTTTTCTATCACTTATTTTCAGGCAAGTAATAAATAGAATTAATTTGACATTAAATACTCTGGACATACAAGGAAAAATACACGTGCCACACATTTTTCCCTAATTTAAATTTGACTTCATTAGTGTAGGGAAACATTTGCACAGAAGTATTTCAGTATACTCAAACAACAGGACTAAAGTTAAAATGCCTAAATGTCAGTATAACAAAAGATATCAGCATAACTGACTGCAAAACACTACACGGCAGCCAACTGTGGTACTTCAAGGCTAAAAATGACAATTTTGGTAAAGAAACCCTCTGAAGACAGCTGGAATGTGAAAGACAATATACATAGATATGTTTCAGTAGCTCAGCCTGAAATACAAGCATCATCAGAATCTGTACTGGAGTTATTTCAGAGGATGAAGACTGAAATGCAGGACAAATTTCTATTTAAGAAAGGTTTTGAGATAACCCCAAAACTAAATCTCATTCTCAAATGACAAATATTTATTTTTTTGCTCCCTTTCTTCCTCCTATCACTCCATCAAAACAAAGAATTGATCTGTAACCGAAAAACCCCAAACCCACACATCAACTCATGCCTGTTATAAATTAAGCTTCTCATACAACAGAGCTTTGTCTATAAGGTATTTCTATTTTGATATAGAGTTATAAAAATCAAATTGCAAAAGTATGAATACTAATTTGTAAAACACCCCAAAAACTACATCTGAAGAAAAAACAGTAAAAATATTTCCAGCTCACCCAAAACCAGCTGTGGCCAATATGTTATTCTCTTCATCAGAGGGTAGGTGACCACAAGAGACAAAGAGGCTGCTCCCAGAACAATACTGTAAAAAGTACCAACAGGATTATTGCTTGCCAGGCTGAAGATCACTAGATGTAGTGCAGCATTATGGGAGCTGTACATAGTACTGAACTAATTATTTTACTTTAAAATACAATCCATTACTGATAACCCCCTCCCTCTGCTCCCAACACTTTTTCTGCTGAAAAGTCTCTGTGCTTAACTCTGGACCCAGAATCAAATTTTAAAAACCAAAAGATAACTCATACATCACCTGTAGTAATTCAGACACAGAAGCACACAGAGTGCCAAGCTAAGCTGTCCCCCGAGAAAAACAAGGGACTGAAAAGTGGAGATATCTCCAGCTGCCAGGGGTCTACTTGCTGTCCTTGCAACCTGAAAAACAGAAATTATGTTAACACCAAATCCAACACAGAATCACAGAACGGTTTGGACTGGAAGGGGCCTAAAAGATCATCCAGTTCCAAGTAGGGAACCTTCCACTAGACCGGGTTGCTCAGAGCCCCATCCAACATAACACATTCCAAAGCACCTTTTGTAACTAAAAGTCACACTATTGGCACATAAGTGTGAAAATAAACAAAAACAGGTCACAGAATGCATGAGATGGGGTTCCTTCGATGATAAAACACAGAAATACATTAAGGATTTCTAAGCAGCAGTGCCTATAACCGAAGCATGAAGGCTTTAAAAACTAGTGCAGAATTAAGGTGCCACTTGTATGAAGTGAGGCTGATTAGAAACACTGCAGGCATCTTGCATATAAATTTTATCACCTTAGGGGAAAAAAAAATCAGACTTAAAAAGTTGTGAGCTAACTATCCTGATTTCAAACGGCACTTCTGCGCTTAAATGCTTTAATATGATCACCATGAAGATGCAGACCTCCTCAAGCATACACAACCATTGCTAATGGTTATGTACCACCAAGCACTTCTGTGCAGGCAGAACTGAGGTCAGGCTTTGCCTGATGATCTCAGAAGGCTGTCTTGTAATGGCCTGACAGCACTGATTTTGCTCTGAGGCCATTGAGATGTCATACTGGTAAGTAAACAGATTCCAGGAAGGCAACTCCTCCTCCCTACCACCACAGTAGCATTTGGAGAGTTTTTCAACCAAGAATGGGAAAAACACACTGAGAGCATTGCTAGAAGAAGGGTGAATGGTCTAGTTGAGAGAGAAAGAGTGAGCAGTAAAGCTGATATAACAGAAATGATGGGAAAAGACGTCTGAAAATACTTGAAATTGATGATGTTATCACATCTATTTTTTATATACTCTAAAGCATTGCAATTTACATCCAAACAGCCTGGCAGGTTTAAATTTTAAATTAAGTTGGCTTGGAATTATGAATAAGGCCATTAAGTACGGCCTTAATAATCTTTTATTGCGCGGATTCTGTGAATGCAGCAGGAAAAAGAACATCAAACATTTGCATTTGAGTAACTGATGGGCAATTTAAAACATCTGTTTTCTATTTTCTGGGGAGAAATGAAAGGGCTCTAGTTCTATTCTAGTTCTATTCTTTACATTTGTTTCTGTCTAATGGGATTTTCAGAATCCAGTCCCATTGATCTAGGATTAATAACAATGAAAAGACAAATAATTTAATCCTAGTTGGGATACAAAGGAGTGTCACAGGGTATCTTGTCATGAGGCCTTGGTCCGGTGGGGGAAGAAAGACACACAAGACACACTAGGACGGTGAGACAAGAGATGTCTGCCTGCTCAGCGCAGCAGGCAGCCTTTATTGAGCATGCTAACTTCTACTTTCCCACACACAGCATAAACATATTTTCATTTTGTATTCCAGGAGGAAATAGTTAGTGACTTACTGAGTCATCTGGATCCTCACAAGTCTATGGGACCAGACGGGATCCATCCTAGGGTAATGAGGGAGCTGGCAGAAGAGCTTGCCAAGCCGCTCTCCACCATCTTCCAACAATCCTGGCTCACTGGGGAGGTCCCTTATGACTGGAAGTTGGCAAATATCACCCCAATCCATAAAAAAGGCTGCAAGGCTGACCCGGGTAACTACAGGCCTGTCAGCCTGACCTCGGTGCCTGGCAGAGTTATGGAGCGGATTATCCTGTGTGAAATCACACGGCAGCTACAGGATGGACAAGGGATCAGACCCAGCCAACACGGGTTTAGGAGGGGCAGATCCTGTTTGACCAACCTGATCTCCTTTTACGATCAGGTGACCCACCTGGTGGACGAGGGAAAGGCTGTGGATGTGGTCTATCTGGACTTCAGCAAAGCCTTTGACACTGTCTCCCATAGCATACTCCTGGAAAAGCTGGCAGCCCACGGCTTGGACAGGGGCACTCTCTGCTGGGTCAGGAACTGGCTCGAGGGCCGGGCCCAGAGAGTGCTGGTGAACGGAGCTGCATCCAGTTGGAAGCCGGTCACCAGTGGTGTCCCCCAGGGGTCAGTGCTGGGCCCAGTCCTTTTTAACATCTTTATCGATGATTTAGATGAGGGGATTGAGTCCATCATCAGCAAATTTGCAGATGACACCAAGTTGGGAGGGAGTGTCGACCTGCCGGAAGGCAGGAGGGCTCTGCAGAGGGATCTGGATAGATTGGAGAGATGGGCAAACTCCAATGAAATGAAGTTCAACAAGGCCAAGTGCCGGGTCCTGCACTTTGGCCACAACAACCCCCTGCAGCGCTACAGGCTGGGGACAGAGTGGCTGGAGAGCAGCCAGGCAGAAAGGGACTTGGGGGTGCTGATCGACAGGAGGCTGAACATGAGCCAGCAGTGTGCTCAGGTAGCCAAGAAGGCCAATGGCATCCTGGTCTGCATCAGGAACAGTGTGGCCAGCAGGAGCAGGGAAGTGATCCTTCCCCTGTACTCTGCATTGGTGAGGCCACACCTTGAGTATTGTGTTCAGCTCTGGGCCCCTCAGTTCAGGAAGGACATTGAGGTGCTGGAGCGGGTCCAGAAAAGAGCAACGAGGCTGGTGAAGGGACTTGAGCACAAGTCCTATGAGGAGAGGCTGAGGGAGCTGGGGTTGTTTAGTCTGGAGAAGAGAAGGCTTAGAGGCGACCTCATCACTCTCTTCAACTACCTGAAGGGAGGTTATAGCCAGGCGGGGGTTGGTCTCTTCTCCCGGGCAACCAACAATAGGACAAGGGGACATGGGCTCAAGCTCTGCCAGGGGAGGTTTAGGTTAGATGTTAGGAAAAAATTCTTTACAGAGAGGGTTATCAGGCATTGGAACGGCCTACCCAGAGAGGTGGTGGATTCACCATCCCTGGAGGTTTTTAAAAAGAGATTGGACGTGGCCCTTAGTGCCATGATATAGTAATTGGAGTTGGATCAGGGGTTGGACTTGATGATCTTGGAGGTCTCTTCCAACCCTACCTATTCTATGATTCTATGATTCTATGATTCACCAAGACATCCAGGAGTTCAAACACCTGCACATTATCAAACAGTCTTAACCTTGTACTCCCTGCAACCCAAGGCCATGTCCATGGAAACCATCTAACCAGCTTCACTGCTCCCATGGAACACGGCCTAACTTTTGCACTACCTCAAACTTCAATTGTGGGGCTACAACTTCACCCCACAAAGGAGTTCCAAAACTCTGTCTGGAATAATAAATCATACAAGGCAAACTGAAGAAAGAAACAAATATCAGAAAAAAGTTAAAACTATATGAATGGTGAGTTACTTGACAAAGGCAACCAATGCCAAAAAAACCCCAAATTACTGAAATTCACCTCAACATGAGGAAGAACTTTTTTACACTGAGGGTGGCAGAGCCCTGCAACAGGCTGCCCAGGGAGGCTGTGGAGTCTCCCTCTCTGGAGACATTCCAAACCTACCTGGATGCGTTCCTAGGTAACCTGCTCCAGGTGAGCCTGCCTTGGCAAGAGAGTTGCACTGGATGATCTCCAGAGATCCCTTCCAACCCTAATGGTTCTGTGATTCTGTGAAATTGTGCATGTTGATGAAAATGGTGTAATGTCTATTTGAAGAGGTTCAAAAGCCAACTTGTTACAGAATATCATGTATGTATGAAGTGTCTTGCATATGCTTTTGCAGATTAAGCATTCACTTAACATATCTGTGACCAATTCCACTGCACATTGCAACTAGAGATGGGATGTTTCACTTAAAAAAAACCATTTACCAAATAATAAATAACACAAAATCTAACCCCCAAACCACTATCACCAACACCAGCCAACATCCTGCTGTTGACTCAGCTTCTCACACTTGTGTTGAAGGCAGCCTTTTAAGGTATATCAAAAAAAGCCAAGGAGGCAATTTTTAAAACTTTACATCTCACCACACCACATAATGGAGAAATTAAATCACTATACTGAAAATTTCCTCATACTAATCACATCCTCCCCATCAAATATGTTTAGCACATGCAGTTGTTAGTGTCTTCCAAGGCCTAAACCATCCAAAGCTGCCACAATGCCCGTACTGACTCACTGCCTTCCCAACAGTACAACAGTGCTGTAGTAAGAACTCCACATACTGGATTGGGTTATTATTCTGTCTCTTGCCAGCACCGAACCCCAAAACCAGAGAAACAATATAGGAACAGAAAATAGGACCAGCAAACAGTGACACATCACCAAGACACTTTTCAACACCTGACACTGGGCACTGCCTTTTGCTTATTTCCTTCTTCTGAACAAAAAGGAGATCATAAATGAAAAACACAACACAATAGAAGGGGATTAGCTCTGGGTTGGGCATGTTACTCTAAACAGCCATTCTCATGAGGAAATTAACAATACAAGGAAACACTGCTCCTGAAATTAAGGGGGAAAAAAAAGTGGTTCTTAGTGTAGCAAAAAGGTGTTACTTGTTTTGTTCTGTCATGCAAAACAATGCTGAGAAATAAACTTAAGTACTACCTAAAGCTGACAACTGCATGTGTTTTATCCCATATGGAGGTAAGTACTCCAGATGACTTATTACAGTCCTAGAGAGAAATGGTTTACAAAATAATTTCTACTATTTTAGGAGGAAACATAGACAAATTAATTGCACGCATCTCAGAGAGAAACATGGAGGAGATTCTGAACCTGGAGCCCTATGATTGCACTCAGCAAGGCCGCACTGGTGATGTTCATGTACTTCGGTGCCTTCAAGATCTCTGGTGCCTGGCTAAAAAAGCCCCATCTACTAAAATAGCATCTGTTCAAGTGGAGTCTCCCTCTCTGGAGACATTCCAAACCCACTTGGACGCGTTCCTGTGTAATCTGCTCCATGTGACCCTGCCTTGGCAGGGGTGTTGGACTTGATGATCTCTGAGGGCCCTTCCAACCCTAATGGTTCTGTGATTCTGTGATACTGGAGATGAGTGGACATGTGCTCGGTTCACTGAATCACAGAATGGTTAGGGTTGGAAGGAGACTTTTAAGGATCACCTAGTTCCAATCCCCCTGCCATGGGCAGGGACACCTTCCACCAGGCCAGGTGGCTCAAAGCCCCATCCAGCCTGGCCTTGAACACCTCCAGGGATGGGGTGTCCACAGCTTCTCTGGGCAACCTGTTCCAGTGCCTCACCACCCTCACAGTAAAGAATTTCTTCCTTATATCTAAGCTAAACCTACTCTCTTTCAATTTGAACCCCTTTCTGCTTGTCCTGTCGCTACACACCCTTGTAAATAATCTTGCCCCATCTTTCCCGTAAGTTCCCTTCAGGTACTGGGAGGCAGCATCGACCAGCATTGCCCAGGTCTCTGCAAGCCCTCGGGGGCCCCTCTACCTTTCTGTCAAAGTCGCGATCCCACATGTCATTGATGGTGCAGCCGGCGCCCCGCATGAGCACGGCCCCCACGCCGAACAGGGACAGCATGTGCCAGTCCGGGAGGCAGCCGGGATCGGCCGCCAGCCCGATGCTCCAGGTGCACGGCAGGTACAGCAGCCACGTCCCTGCGGGGAGACAAAACCCGTGGGTGGCGTGAGCGGGGGGTGAACAGCAGGCCACCGCGGGCACGGGGGCCCCGGCCCTCCCCGCGCTCACCGGCGGGCTGGTGCAGCCGCATGAGCCGCAGGTAGGGCTGCAGCGGGCCCGGCGCGGAGCGCACCAGCTCGGCCGCCGAGAAGCTGCGCGGCCGCGGGTGCTCGCAGGGGCGGCGGCGAGACAGCAACAGCGGCGGCGTGGCTGCGGCGAGGGGCGGGCGGGCGGCGCAGAGCCTGGCGGTGCCCCGGAGCCCGGCGGGACCCCCACACAGCCGCGACAGCAGCGCTGCCGCCATCTTGGCCCCGGCGGGGCGCCGTGACAGGGCCCCACGCATGCGCAGCGCCCGCGGCCGGGGCTGTGGCGGGCCGGGCTCCATTGTAATCACCGGGACATAACGTGTTGGTGTTTCAGCGTGTGTGTCGTCTCCCAAACCTTTCCACGTTATATCGTTAATAGAAAAAAAAAGCAAATAAAATGCCCATGGCAGGAAACAGGTGATCTTTAAGGTCCCTTCTAATCCAAACCATTTTATGGATTTCCGCAGGAAATGGGGGAAAACCCGGACTGGATTCGGCCGGAGTACGGAATGGGGGAAAACCCGGACTGGATTTCGGCCGGAGTACGCAATGGGGAAAAACCCGGACTGGATTTCAGTGGGAGTACGGAATGGCAGAAAACCCGGACTGGATTTCGACCAGAGTACGGAATGGGGGAAAACCTGGACTGGATTTCAGCTGGGGTACGGAATGGGGGAAAACCCAGACTGGATTTTTCTGGAGACTGGATTCGCCCCCCCCAAAAAAAAATTAAGAGAAAAAATGAAGTGTTGGACTTGATGATCTCAGAGGTCCTTTCCAACCTGGTTGATTCTATGATTCTATGTGAGTGGCCTAAAATGGAATAAACTATTTTCTGGTTGCAACTGCTCTGTAAAATACAGTGGTAGACTGCATAATTCATACTTTGTTCTTTGCAGAGAAAGCAAAAAGGTGTTAAAAAAATGTGGTGTTTTTTTTTTAATCTGTGCTCCTTTATCTTCATCAGTATTGCATTTACTCTAGTAAACTGGTGAATATTAATTTCAGCTGAATTTTTCCATTGTCTGCTTGGAAATTATCACAGAATGGTTTGGGTTGGAAGGGACTTCTTTAAAGATCATCTAGTTCCAAACTCCATGCTGTGGGCAGGGATGCTTCCCACTAGGCCAGATTGCTCAAAGGCCCATCCAACCTGGCCTTGAAGACTTCCAGGGATGGGGCATGCACAACTTCTCTGGGCAACTTGTGCCAGTGCCTCACCACCCTGATTGGAAAGAATTTCCTCCTAACATCTAATCCAAACTTACCCTCTGCCCATTTAATGCCATTCCCCCTTGTCCTATCACTCCATGCCATTGTAAAAAGTCCCTTTCCATCTCTCTTGTAGCCCCCTTTAGGTACTGGACAATACTATAAGGTCTTTCTGGAGCCTTTTGTTCTTAGCACCTGGAAAAAGGCTTTACAGGGTTGGTTTTGTTAGTACATTTCCTTTCTCCCTAGCTATTGAGATGTTTTGCTTTTTGCTGTCTTGCTGTGGCTAAGAGATACACACTCTGCAGCCGACCATCTGTCTCCTTGCAGAGCCACTTTGCAGACTTGGCGAAGCCACACGTGAAGGGGATTGGAGCCACCAGCCACCGGCAGAGCCCTGGTCGGGCCCTGTGGTGAGCTCTGGCCAGAAACCACACCAGCTGCAACAGGAGGCAACGGGTCCTCCTGCCCAGCTGGGCAAGGGTGGTGCTCTTGCTGTGAGTTTTAGGAGTTCACATTTTGATTTCACTGCTGACATTTTTGCTGGGTTTTTTGTCTGACTTAAATGCCAGGTGAAGGGAATGAGCTGAGGTAGGTGTTTATGGTGGACTTTTTACTGTCACAAAGAGCAGATACACTTGATGCACCAGGATTGCATATAGGAGTGGGTGGCCTTTCTGTGGAAGAAAAGCATTTTCAGGGCTTGCTTGCTCAGACAGCCAGTGTCACCCCAGTTCTGAACGGAGGATGAGTTATTAAAATCCTTAAAATGTTGGTGATGAGTGCTTTTTAAAATGTGTTATCTCCCATACTGGCTGTGCATTTCAGCTTCCCATTTCCCTCCTCTCCTAGGCCAGCTGGTATTTGCTTGAGGCAGTGGGATGTCACGTATCCCCTCTTCTAGGAACTACAACTTTTTGCAAACCCCACTTCCCACAGCCTCTTGCAATGTTTTCGGCAAAAGAAATGAATCATTTATGATTCAGCCAAGGGGTGGCCAGGCAGTCCCATCGTAAAGCAGGGAGAGCCCCAGTTAAACTTTGGAGCTGTTGGAAGCCGAGGGAGCATTCCAGGGCACAGCTCACTGTTATCTCAGGACTATTGTTAAAAGGCTTCCTTTAAAGCACCATAAATCCCAGCCTGTTATCAAAGCTCCTAAATTGCAGTTTAATTGAATTTCCCCTTTCCCTGTTCTTGTCGAGGGTGAGAGAGAAGGAGAACACACCATCAGCACTTCCTGTGGGATGCACTGAACTTGCCTTGCTCCTGAGCAAGCACTTGCTTTGATCTTCTCTGGGCTCTCTGAACACTCTGCATCCTGCTGGGAAACAAAAAATGCTGTCCTGGTGCCACAGATTCTCTACAAAAGGTGGAAGTGCATCCAAAACTGTCAGTGACTTGCACAGGACTTGAGTGGTTAAATATTTGGGGCATGTTAGTAACAAACAGTAAATATTAGAGTCTCAAAGAGGGAAATTGATATGTGTATGGTAAGTACTTAGCTAATTTTATAGTGGCTGGGCTACATGGCTTGTGACAAACACTTAGGGAATCAGCCTGATTTTTCTAGAAAGCCTCCACGTGGTGTGTATTTACTAAGTCAGAAATTAAAACCCAAATGCATCTGCTGAGAAGGAGCAGGGAGCACACTGCAGATTGAGAAGAGGATTAAAATCAAAGGTGTCATCGCTCCCTGCTGTCTCCTTGTCTGGGGCTGAATGGAAGTGTAGTAGGATGGCTGGGGCTTCCCCTCATGTCAGGGTCAATGCACAGGGTGCTGCCCCGTGGGGATCTGCCCCCTGGTGCAGGTGGGTTTAGCTGCTGCTGGCTTTGACTGAGAGTGCCCTGTTTAGTCTCCTGCATCAGCAGGCTGGGGCAAGGACTGTTCTGAACTCCACAGAGAGGTTTCGATCACCCAGAACCCCCTGACAACGCCCCTTTTGCCACCACACTGCCCAGCCACCATTGCCAAGCCTGGCTGTTAAAGCAAACAGGTCTGCACCAACCCCTTTGTCCAAAGCTTTTTCCATAAGGAAAGGGAAGAGCTCAGAGTGAAGCACTTGGAGGTTCTCTGCCTTTAGTCTGGTCTGGCATATGAGAAGTACAATTTTTCTGTGTGGAAAAATGTTGGGAAAATGCCTGTCCCAATGAATGCACATCATTCAGAGCTGTTCTCCCCTGAAGAGCAACAACGTGGAGGTAGAGTTAAGGGAATAAAGAATACAAAATAAACATGTAACTTTTTTTTTTTTTTTAAAGATGAATAATTAAGTCTGGGAAATGGAAACTTGTGCTCTGCAGGCTTGTTAAATCTGTAATCCTAACGACAGGGCACATGTCCACACCACCCCCTTCAAGTTACCTCCCACCCATTATACTTGCTTATTGGCTGCCAATAAACCTCCAAGTGTGAGCAAGTTTAGTTTCACCCTCCCCAGAGCTCTTTCTGCAGGGTCCCGGCTGGCAAAGAAGCGTGCTCTGACAGAGGCTGCTCACCAGAAGGTTGGTTCTCTTAAAGCATGGAAATATTAATAACTTGTTAGCCTGGGAAAGTGGGATAATAGTGCTAAAGTAAGGATTTTTTTTTCCTGCTTAGCACATAATTTAAATCAAACAATCTTGCAAATTCTACTTGGAGAAGGGGGGAGGCTTTTAAAAAGCTATGCATGAAAGCTGAATTCTGTAGCAGTTACCTGTCCTTTGCTGCTTTCTCCTGCTGACAGAATTGTATAACTGTGTTAAAGGAATCTGACTGGTACTTACTCTCTGTTTAAACCGGGCTGTCCTGCCACAAGGTTGGATATTGATCGCTTCTATAGGTTGCTGCCTGATCTCCCCAAGTGTTTGCTGTCCCTTCAATGGGGTATGCTATTGGTGGCAAGAGCAGCTTCATGCTGTGGTCTTAATTTTTACAGCTAAGAGATGTTTGCATGTTTGCAGCTAAAAGAGGAGAAAATATGTGAATAATATTCGTATACAGAATACTGTGCATTTGTAAAAGTGTAGAGAGATTCACCACTTTTTGGTAGCTTGGCTGTGGGTTGGCAGAGGGAAGCTCTCGAAGGCATCACACGCTCAGGTTTCCCTCTGGACACACTTGGTACTGCCTCCAGCTGCATTTTCTTCAAACTCAGCACCTTCTGTGATTTCTGTGATTCACACCGGGCTTGCAGGTTGGCTTGTGCTGCCAGGTGAAGCCAGGAGTGGGATTTCTGGAGAAGCATGGGTTAATCGAAAGGGTGGAGAGTACTCCCCCTCCCCCAGCACCTCCTACTTAATTTCGGTTTCTATTCCAGCTTTTGAGCTCAGAAACTGCACAGAGAAGAGCTTGATTAGCCAGCACTGTGGTTCTGCCTTTGCCAAGCTGCTGTTTCTAAGAGATAAAACAAACCAACCCAATTTGTAGAAAAAAGGCTTAAGTCTTAACAGATGTGAGCAGGCAGTTTATCTTATCTAGAAAAACCTAGCCCCAAAGTCAAACTTTCTTTGAATTGTTATCTAAGACTGTTTTGCACTTTTTTTACTTGGCTAGGAAGATAGAAGCAGAAAGAGTAGTTATTATTATCATCATCATCATCACCACCATTATTGTCATTACCTTTATTATATCATTATTATTACTATTTTAGATCTGAGGCTTAGTGGTTTTCAAGATTTACTTTCTTGCTTAACCACAGGAAGGCAAGGAAAGGGCGTCAGACTTGGGACACAGCCTTGAGTTTCTGTCTTTTTGACTCTCTATGACAAGAAACTGGAGATATGAGTTTTTTATAGTATCTCTCTTGCGTGGAGCCTGGCTTTGGTATGAGGAAGTGAGACCACAGGTGCTTCCCACATGCTTTGGACCCATGCCAAAGCCATCTTGTGTAAAATAAGCCAAGTTCAACAACTGAAATGCCCAAGTGGTTCCCTTTAGCTTGGGTTCACTGCCCAACCTGGCTTGGCTCAAGGGAAATCAGTGAGCTGTGTCTAAGCTCTAGTGAAGCCTTTCTGGGGTGGAGTGGGGAATGCCAATGGCCTGGTGCTGTTTTGAAGGCTGGATAAAGTGGTAGAAAATGCAAAAGCATTGAAAGGACACAAATGCAGGTAAGATACGGTTGTGCTTTATCACCGCCAGCAACAGCAAGAGGGCTGGGCAAAAGGCAGCCTGCTGAAGGGTGACGGCCCACAGTTTGGTTGGAGGTTCAGACCAACCACAGGTTTTTCACTAAGTAACCTGTTTGCTGTTCCCCACCTGTCTCTTTCAGAAGAGCATCTAGGAATGGCCGCCCAGACGGTCGTGACGATCCAGCCGCAGTATGGCATGCCCGCTGCCTCCAGGTGCATTTGGCAGACGGGGCTGATGGACTGCTGCTCGGACTGCGGCGTCTGTGAGTGCTGTGGGAAGTCCCCTCTCCCAGCCCTCATCCGGGTGTGCTGCAGTCAGTTACAAACCCTCTTGAGACACTTCTCTTGCCCCTGCTGCTCGGCTTGGTGGTGCAATGGCTCCAGCCATGTAGCCTGGTTCTCCCAGTTCTGAGCGGGCAAGCAGATCTTCACCCTCTGCTGTGTTTCTCCCCCTGCCAGGCTGCTGTGGGATGTTCTGCTTCCCCTGCCTGGGGTGCCAGGTGGCCGGGGACATGAATGAATGCTGCCTGTGTGGGACCAGTGTGGCCATGAGGACCCTCTACCGCACCAGATACAACATCCCGGTCAGTGGGTAACCTGCCCCCTCACCCTGCTGCGAGGCTGAAAGGCGAGGTGCCCCCCAGGGAGGTGGTGGATTCACTGTCCCTGGAGGTTTTTAAGATGAGACTGGATGTGGCACTTCGTGCCATGGTCTAGTAATCACGGCGATGTTGGATCAAGGGTTGGACTTGATGATCTTGGAGGTCTTTTCTAACCCGGTTGATTCGATGATTCTATGGGGGATGAGCACAGGGCAGCTTTCCCCTCACAATTGTTTTCCCTTTCGTATCCTGCATGATGCCAGAGCATGGAACAGGGGTTGGGACATCCTCAGTTGAGCTGATCCCTGGGCTGGTATCCAACAACACACATAAACTGGACACAGCTCTTCCCAGAACCCTTCACTGGAGGCACGTGTCCTGCCTTCAGCTGCTGCTGACCACAGTGGCTTGCAGAGCCCGGGCTGCTGCTTCCTCCTTTGATCTTTGAAAGATGGGCGAGATTTGAGATAATGGTGGGCAGATTAAAGAATAGATGAAGTTGGTTATACAGGTAAGG